CCCCATATCCCTTAATCCCTTTCGCAATAAGAAATCTATCTATCTCAGTCTTGAATATGTTCAAGGAAAACTCTCCCAATCTTCAGATTTGCCGCTTTTCTTGGCAGTTTTATAAGCCTTTTTTAATTTGATGTAAATAGTTACAATAGTCTTTATTGTAAATAGTTCCTCAGTCTCACTATTGTAAATACTTACTTAATTTATCAGTTATGGATCTTTTCTTGTGTCTCACTGGCGTGCGTAAAAGTAAGCTCTTTAAACATTGCTAACACATTATTGATTCTATAAAGTAGTAATTTTCCAAATTATTTGACATTTTTGGATGGTAATTAAAGCATGCATTCCATTTAAAATGATAAAATATCTATTTAACATCCATACAAGCATACCTTGTGATTTTATGCTTTGTATTTCTTTGTATTTCGTTCGCCCACAAATGTACAGTCAATTCACTTTACAGTGTGTTCTGTGAAGCGCTTTGGGACGTCCTCCCGACGTGAAAAGCGCTATATCAAATGCAAGGATTATTATTATTATTATTAAAGGGCTTGAACCACCTTTACTGGAGGAACTTGTGACTTTCTTTATATACATGATTAGATCTTCTTTCCAGCAAAATGCTGTGACACGTGTTACATGAGCTGATCGACGTGTTGTTGAAATGCTCTACTGAACTTGGCAAAATCTGGACTCGATTTGCAGTTGAACAGGAATGTGATATAATGGAATGAGCAGAGGATTTCTTTTATGAATATTCACAGAATTCATTGGTTGTTCTTTTACTGCTGATTCTATCTGTGGGACAGAGAAATTGGTGCTTGATTTCATGAAGCCAGATTCAAAAAATACTCTGAACTATTTGGAGGCTGTTCCCTTTGCTATGATTAATGGTCCTGTGGGGCACAAGACTCTTTAACAACACAAAGATGTTGAAGACTAGCAAGCCGTCTCAAGACCCTCCTCTTCAACTGTGCCTTCGGCCAACTTCCCTGCCCTCCACCCTCCATTACCCCAAACACCCCCAACCCCACCCCATCCCCCACTTGGGTCCAAATCCCTGACTGTCCAATACCTTAGGACGTCCTCCCAACGTGAGAGGTGCTGTCTAAATGTAATTTTGTATTGTATGAAAAGCAATGAAGGGCAGGTAATATTTTTCCTTCTCTTTCCTCCCTCTCACCTGAGGTACTTGGGTCAATTTTTATATTTCTTCAATTGAAAGAATAATAATTTGCATTAATACAATGCCTTATAATAAAATAATAATCCTTCCATTTGATACAGCGCCTTATCACATCTTCAAGACGTCTCAAAGAGCTTCACAGGATACACTGTAAAGTGCAGTGACTGTATTTTGCGGGTGAAATGCGGCAGCCAATTGCAAACAGCAGCGTCTCCACAAACAGTCGTGGATTGAGTCACCACATTATTATGATTATTATTATTATTTTAAAGGAATTGTAACCCCAGAAAGTGATCCGCCAATCCTTGAAGATTTTATTTAAAAAAAGGTCTCGACCATCCAGAACAAGGGTCTGTCTCCCACTGGTCACTCACCACTAGGGGGCCCTCTCGGGCTTGTCAAAAAGATGGAGTGAGAACTCTGTAGGTGTTTAGTCCAATTAAGCCAGAGGCACAAAGTATTTCATGCATCTTGAATTAAAAATATATACTTTGTTTAATCTGCAGTAATTATCGCTCCTTCTACATGTCTTTATTAAGCATGTGCGAGAGGACCAGTTGGAGACCCCTGATCTAGATGGTGGAGGTTGGGGTGAGGGGGAAATGCTGGCGTTTTCACAATTGTCCAGTTCTTAACTAGGCTTATGACTTTTGCGGGAAACAAACTGTTACCTTTAATAAGGAAAATTGAAATGAAGGAAGATGCTGTTTCTGAAAATGAGGACATTTCACCAAATTAATGAATCCTGTAAATGTGTCTGTGGCTGGCAGCTGGGTACCTCCTGAAGGCTTGAGAAAAGCACATAATTGAAGAAATTTATAATGTGCTCAAATAAAGAGCATGAGGGACTCAATAAAAATGAAATACTTTGTTAGGCATTTACAAACAGTCGGAGGTCATTCAGTCTTACTATCTTCAGCCATTTTGTTAAATTATGGTAGATTTCAAAAAATTAATTGTCTGCCTCATTACCATATCAGTTAATACCCCTACTTCTCAAGTATCTATTCATGATCTTTCAGAAGCCAGGCATATTTCAACATGTTGGTGGTGGGGAGGCGGGGAGAGAGAGTGAGAACACAGAACATAATTAGAACAGCAGTGTCCCACAAACAGCCATGGAATAACAAAACTGCACTTGTTTAGCTTGCAATTCCTCCTCTCCGGAGTTTGCTTGTAATGCCACAGTGTGTAATCTTTTGCAGGATTCTTAATCCTTTTCCAGCCTCCAGTGGCTCTTTAGGATCGACTGAACCACTATCTGCTTCTGGGCCACGTAGAAATAGGTATTGATCAGTTTCTTATAGACTCCAGGCCAAGGATATTTTCCCAGGTTTGATTCAGCAGACAAAAACTGGCAGATAATTTTCTGTATATTTTTGAGCTCCCCCCGCCGCCGCCCTCACTCCTCCATTTTATTTCCTTCTGCTGAGAAGATACAGACCTCTGGCTCCGTGATAACAACAACTTGGATTTATATAGCGCCCTCCACGCCGGACAACGTCTCAGAGCGCTTTATAATAATAATAGCGTGATAATAATAATACTTGATATAGTTCCTTATCACATCGTTGAGGCGTTTCAAAGCGCTTCACAGAATATACTGTAAAGTGTAGTGACTGTGTATTTTGTGGGTGAAAAATGACACAGTACTGACAGCCCAGCCCCTCTGATGATCGTGTGGGATAATGCTATTCAACTTGGCACAGGATTGCAGCCGTTAAACATTCCAGCAGGGGTCAGCTTTTAGGAGCTGAAAGTTTGTCTGTTTTGGGCTAATTTTCCCCCAGTCCTCGCCGAGCCCAGGGCCCACCCAGGCCAAGGTGCAGCTGGTGCCTCAACCGCCCAAGAATAGACCAGAAATTTTATCCTGACCTTCCTGGGCTGTGGTTCATTGTCACGCCAGATTGGTATTCATCTGTTGGGTCACAAGGCCTTCTTATACACTTGTTAATGATAATTGTTTTCGTAGTGATTGCAGCTTGAGATATGCTGTGTCTTTCCTGTTTATAGATTGGGGTGTGTGTGGGGAAGAGCATCATTTCCCTGGACTAAAGAATTCACATCCACAGAGGCTGGGAGCTGCTGTCTCAGTTCCCAGGCCACTCCATTGACGTATGTGTTTGGCTCGAGGTTAGCCCCGGCCAATCCACAGCTGCCATCACACTCAGGAGATCCTGTTCATCATGTAGCTACTCCCTTTCTAGTAACATGTCATCAGTGTGGCCTGGGAATGTAGGCTGGACTGCAACTAATAAAACAAACAAGCAATTTTTTGCAAATAACACATTCTTTACAAAATTGTATTACATTTTCAGTGTATTGTGGGCCAGCATTTGGAACAAAAATGCTCAATTTATGTTTCTCTTCCTTTAAGATATTCATTTCTGGAATATCCCCGTCCAGTTGGGTTTCCTCTGATACCCATCGAGGAAAACCATCTCGGAACAACAAGAGCAGCAACAAAATACATTTGTATAACACGCAGTCTCAATGTCAGGATTTTGTTATCAGTTTTTGTGTGGCTCTGCTCTGCTTTCCTTCACTGAGGAAGTTTCTATCTGCGATTATTTATTTATTAATCTATGGCTCATGGTATCTGAAGGTACTAATGTAGTTATTTGCCACCAATTCAAATTGGAGAAGGTTTGCTGTCTCTGACTTTTCACTTTTCATAGAGTGCAAATTCTCCTCCCTCCCATCCCCCCCCAGCAAAACATTTGCTGAGAGTCCATCACTGAACTTCCGACATACAAAAGCAGCCAATCATTCAGCCGGTTTCAGTCAAAGTACTGCAGCAAATGTGTCTTGGTTTGTGTGCAGCCTGGTGCTGTGCGTATCAGCTACTCGTAAGTAGCTTTTACACAATCTCACTTTGGACACAGGCTTTTCAGATGTAGTAGTGGACAGAACCCCACCAAAGCTTCTGTACACGCTCCGAGACGCTATATAAATGCAAGCTGTTGTTGTTTAATGTTGTTCCCTTTGCTGCTCTGGTTATTAGGTAATTGCTGGGCACAACTAAGATCCAACTGAACTGCCCCAAACAAAATATGTTTTTTTTAGGAATATTGTTTTTGTTATTGAAGTTGTATTCAAATCAATTAATTTATAAAATTTCATGAGATGTGTATTGTTTTACCACTGCTATAAAATACTGGATTGTATTACTCTTCATTTATAATAGATTGACTTAAACAATTTTTACTGGACTTGACAGCCAAAACTGCCATTTAGTATGCCGAGCTAATGTGCTGTTCAGCATTTCTGTAGCTAAGTATTATATCTGGACTAATCTCAATCAATTCTATTTCAGTAACACGTAAATTGCGCTAACTAATAATTTGATTTATTAGTACTGGCTGGATCTCTGTCTATAAGTAGTAGATTATTATTTTCTAGCATTAGGATGCAAATCTAATCAGTGTATAATTCAGCAGCATTGCTAGATCGAACTGACTAAGAACCGTGATTTCTCAGTAAGCCTTTTTATATGTACGGGTAGGCATTTATATGTGAAATATGCAGTATAAAACCTCTCCGAATTTGATTGTTGCTTTCATTGCGTTTTTTATGCCATCCATTTTGAGATGCATGCATTGTCGAGACCTCTTTTAACTGTATCAGCTTTATGAAAATGTAGCTCCAATGGCAAATAAAATCTGTCAGAAAAAGTTGTTCCATGTGAAGCTGCAGTTGAGAAACCTCTGCAGTGGCCGGTGTTTCCCTCGGTGTCTCGGCTGTTAGCATTCCAGTGCAGTCGGCTGCTGATGTCACTGCTTGCTTCACCAGGCTTTTTGGTCTCTTTGTTTCACAGGGAGCTGTGATTGGTATAGACGATGAGGACGACAGCACCTTCACAGTCACCGTGGATCAGAAGACATTCCATTTTCAAGGTGAGAGCAAGAGATTGTAACTTGGACTGAAACGCAGTACACTTTTGGCTGCAGAGATCCTGCAGGGAAACTACTGCTTAGAATTTGTGTGTGGAAAAGAGTCTTGAACCATTTTGGTGAAACGCTCATCTGACCATGTTGAACATTCTGGATCTTGACGGACTGCAGGTTAGAACTGTGGGTGTTTGACTCACTGAATTCCAAGCCTGCTAGACGAGGAATCGTTTTCGCTAGCAAGTGGATAATTTTAAAACAAATTGAAGGATAAAACCTCAAGGGGAAAAAGTGTTTTATCTGATCGTATAGTCTGAACTGCTGGATGTTCTATTAACTGCTGCTCTGCAGTGTGAGGACTCAGGCAACACAGGCAGCACAGTGTGACTGAGCCAAGCAGGGTTGTGTCTCTACTTAAGACTGCAGATGTGCATTAACAGGAAATCTGAAGCACCATTTGGCTTTAAGGTGGAGCCTTATGTCCTACAAACCTACCATTTCTTCCATCTGCATTGTTTGTCTTCTGTTCTTCATTTCTGTGTTATCCTCTATCTTACTGAGTGTAGCACTAATTGTGACCAGCTATTGCCATGTTTCGCCACTGTTTGCTGTGGTTCTCCAGTAGGAAGGGTAAGGCATTGTCATTCCAATTTCCTGTTAGCACTTGTAATTGTGAAGCTTCATGTAACAGATCAGTAGAGGATATCCCAGAAAAGCTTCCAGGTTTCAGTGTATCTTGGGCACTGGGCATTGAGAATAGGAAAGATAATGGGGTGGGGGGGGTGGATTGTTAGGGAATAAGTCATTTTAGAAAACTGTAGTTAATATTTACATATTGCTTTTATACATATTGATTTTAGTTGGTGATTTTATATGTGGCTTATGCATTTTGATTTGTGCACAAAGAAATTACACATTTAATGTTAAAGATACTGAAATGTTAATCATGTTTTTGAAATTTTACTTTTGCAGGGTTAAAATGATTCAGATTGTACAGCAAGCCAGTGCTTAAGGCTGTATCATTTCCTAATGGCTGCTAGTTTGGTTCCTAGAGAAAATTCTGTGTACCCGCTGAAGCAGCTACAAATGGCCAAGTGAATAAATCAATGCACAGATTGCTTTCAAACACTAATGTTAGAATAGGTTTGTCAGGGCTTTGGAGACTACATGGTATTTAGTTTGAGATGGTAAAGCTCCAATATTTACTGTGTAATTAGCATTCTGTACAGTGATTCTTTAATTAGGTAAAAGAGTTCAAGCTACAATAGGTATTTTGTCTTGTCTTTTATTTAAGTGGATGCTGCAGTAAGTGTAAACATTTCTTAAATAAGCTGTTCTTATTGTGCCAAGTTCAGCTGTCTACACAGACCAATGTCAGATAAAATAAATAAAATTGTCAACTTTAAAACACTGCATTGGTTGAAATATTGTGTAATTTTCTTTTGAAGAGGTTGGTTTGGTCTCATTCCACTTTGTTAACTGTTCAGAAACTTTACAAATATGGCTCCCTACCATAGAGCCCACCCGGTATTGTCAAATATCCACTTATATCTTCAATTGATGTTGGAGCTACTGTAATAAAATCATGTATTTGAAGAAGTCTGGTAATAATGCAATGTAATTGTGCCAGAAAGTTCTGTAGCTGTGTCTTTAGCATTTTAATTTCTGGATTATAAATACAGAGAAGCAGGAGCAAGATGGGGAAATATTTCCACATTTTAAAATGTGTGTGTATGTATACAGTATATATATAATATGTGTGTATATATACAGTATATGTGCGTTTGTATATACAGCATATGTGTGTGTGTATATACAGTATATATGTGTGTGTATCTACAGTATATGTGTGTATATATAAAGACTACATGGTATTGAGCATTATATATATACACAAAGATGCGGTGACAATATTGTTCACTCAGTTGGTAATATTTACATTCAATTCTAGAGTCTAAAGAATTTTTTTCTCTAGCAAACAAATAAATATGATTTTTGAATGTTAATTTGCGTCCCTCAGATATTTACCTTTCACAATAGCATAGAGGGTAGTGACTTTTTCAAACTTGCAGTTCATTTCATGAGGTATAGCGTCCAAGGGAAATTTATTTGAAAATAATTCCTACTGAGCATAAAAAACATGAAAGATTGTCTGATCATAATTGCAAAAAAAAACAATGTTAATAGGAAAAATCATGAATCAGATTGTAAAGCCATGTGAGGGACTAAAATTAACTCACAGATAACATTAATGCCAAGCTCTGTAGTTGAAATTTCAGCATATTTTGGTTAGTGACACACATGGAGCTGGTATAGAGACCCAGCCCAGAGCGCAGAGACCCAGCCCAGAGTGCCGAGACCCGGCCCAGAGCGCAGAGACCCAGCCCAGAGACCCAGCCCAGAGCCCAGAGACCCGGCCCAGAGACCCGGCCCAGAGCCCAGAGACCCGGCCCAGAGCGCAGAGACCCAGCGCAGATGTCCAGCTCAGAGCGCAGAGACCCAGTGATAGTAAATACTAAAACAACTATTTTAATGAGGAAGATATGTGATATTCTCAATATTAATACTAAACAACAGAGCCGCAAGCACTGAAACTCATGTTACTTTAATCCAAAATATGGTTATTCCAACAGAATCTGGAAGAGATAAATTACAAAATAACCAAAGACCAGTGCTTGTGTGTTAATGTAGAATGTCTAAATGACTGTATTAGTGATGCAGAGAGATGGATAGGAACTTGTGACGTGCAAACTAAAAGCTACTTCCAACCATTCTAGCCACACTTGGTGCAAAACATCAACATGTCTCTGGCTTAATGGTTCAGTAAATGGTAGAAAGAAATTAAAGAAGTTGTGTGATTAATTGGCAATGGATTAATTATCAATCAAATATGATCCTATTTGTAATGGTCTGTAAGAGTGTTGATATTCCTGGACATGTTTGGACAGTCTTGGCTGAGGAGTATGTGTTGTTGGTGTGTGTTGTGCATGGGTGTGTGTTGTGGGTGTGGATGAGGGGAGGTGGAATTGGTTCTGACTTAGGAGAAATTTAGTGAATCCTTTATCCCTTTAAAATAAATTCCTTCAGTGAAAAGATTTGATCAGTATCGAGCCAAATGGGATGATTGAGCGCTTGACATGAATTTAGCTTCATCAGTTGATTAAGTATACCTTTACCCTCAACATAATATAATATAATATACTAGCTATACCCGTTGCAGCTTCGCTAAAGGCTCCAATATAGAATGTAGATTAACACACAGACAGACATTTCGTTTTTATCTATACTCAGCTGGGAGGACTCTTTTTAGGAGGACTCGGTGGGAGGACTCTTTTTGGGAGGACTCAGTGGGAGGACTCTTTTTGGAAGGACTCTTTTGGGAGGACTCCTACTAACCGAAGGGGTTTATTGTGTGATCCGGCAGGACCTCGATTTATTGCAAGGCTTCTGTGTAGACGACATTTTCAGTTTTTCCTCCTTCGGCCCTGACGTAAAGGTTTTTAGATGAACCCACGCGTGAGCATCCAACATAGAATAGACCATGGGAAAAGCAGGGTACATTCAAGAAAAGGTCAGCAACCTTTAAGCTTGGCCCCTGTGCCTTGTTAATTGACATGGCAAAGCACATTCGAACAGGGAATTGGAGCCTTTTTAACTCAAAAGGGCAGTCACTTGGGAGCAGTGGGATGTGAGGAATGAATACACCTTCCCCTTTGAACTGACCAGTCAGAATAGTTGCTTCTATAACATATGGACTCCTGGTTGGGAGGAGGACTCCTGTTGGGAGGACTGCAGCTCTCATGACAACCCGAAAAAACTGCCATACGTTTGTTGTAGAATATATTAATATAGATGTATCTCTTTAGAAGGGTGTGTGCTTTCCTCTGTCACTACTTTGTTGCAGAATACCACATAAACCTCATATTATGGGTTTAATTAAAGCATTTTTTAAATATAACTCATCAACGATAGGAGATCCCAGTAAAAAAAAATGCCTACGATACTCCCGCATGCAAGACCTTTCCGATGAGGTATAAATCATGTGTCTACGTCATTCAGTTATCGTGTTATTGGTGGAAACACAGACATTGTCTTTATTAGTATAGATATAGGTATGCATAATAAACAGCCAGGAATGATCAATTTTTTTTATCTGGTGTATTGATGGCCAAGATATTGGGGGATATTCCCTGCTTTTTTCAAAAGTGCCACGATATCTTTAACGTCCATCTGAACAAGCAGAAGGGACAGCAAGTTTTAATGTCTCATTTGAAGGATGGCACCTCCGGCAATGCAGTGTTTCTCCTGCACCGACCACGCTGGTGTCAGCCTAGACTATTAGGCCAAATCATGTGGGGTTTGGACCCACAACCTTCTGACTGAGGCGTCAGTGATACCAACTGAACCAAGCTGATACCTAGAAATGTGGTACAAACACATAGAAATGATCTACAGATAAATAGATTCAACGCGAATGGGTTGAGAATGTGGAATTCAATTCCAGATGCAGATATAATGGGTTTGTTCTCTATGGTTTTGTTCATACCATGTGTTCCACTTCAGATTTAAAATTGTCCCCTGAATAAAAGATCTGCCTTTATGATATCACATCTCTGCATACACATTAAATGGAATGTCAACTAAAGTTCACTTTAACCTGATGCTGGGAAAGGACAGATTTGTATGCATTCTGTTCTGATCAGGGCTTCAGTGAGAATTTTCCCATATATTTTATAGAGCTAGAATTGTCTGAGAATATTTACGCCGAGTAAGAGCATATGAACAGGAGGAAACTTCGCAGTTCCATCAAGCTTGTTTTGCCAGTTCATCAGATTACGGCTGATATTTTAATCTCACTTCCGCATCTTTTCTCTGTATGCCTTAATATGCTTCCTTCCCAAATATCTGTCTCCTTTTTAAACATCCAATCGATTCTGCATCCACAGCAGCCAATGCTTTCCACATTCTCACGAGTTGTGGAGATTTTTGGCCAGGACACCAGGAGA